AAAGGGAATAGTCGAGCAGTGCCTGGCTTACTGGGTAGTCGACTACTCCATTAGTCGCTTACATCCCTACTCAGAACACATGCAATGTAGCTGGACAATTCTAGAAAGGTTAAGGAGCTGCAGCAGGAGCTGAAATGGAAAACGTTGGGCAATTTCCAGCATCTTCCACTGGGCACTTCAATGTACCCAGAGTTCAGAACAGAGCGGAAGTGAGAGGGCAAAACCTGTGGAGAGCAAATATGGTCTCCTGGCAACGGCAGCGATGTCAGGGTTCTGTGCTCAGCCATTTGAGCCTGGAGAAATGGGGGAATGTGTGAAAGTTGCCATTTTAGTCGACATGGAGGGGAGGAGTCATCCAGGGACTCCCAGAGCTAAAAGCAGAAGTCTCCACAGTCTGAGCTAACGAGCCAGCCTTGGTAACTGGGGATAGTAATAAACTTAAACCTTCTGTGAATCACGTGTGGCTAGGGATGCCAGATGGTTTCACCTAAAAATAACAAACTCTCAGGGGAAAAAAAAGCGCCCGGAAAATGTTGTCAAGCAAAAAAAAAAAAAAAAAGCAAAGCACCAGGCCACCAAAATGCAGTCGTGGCCCCTTTAATTGCCGGGCCCTGCCCCTGCCATGTGTCTGTCAGCCGCCAAGCTGGAGAAAAAGCAGAAAATACCGGATATTTTATATATCCAGTATTTTCTAAATTTCTTTACCGGGCAGAAGGTGCAAATACTGGACTTTCCGGTACAGTACCAGACACCTGGCAACCCTAAGTGTGGCAGGAGGTTAAGGGGGGAAGGGGAGCGCTGTGTGCAGACACGAGCACACAGCATCAAGTAGGCATTTACACACCAGGGCATTTTCCTACTGCCAGTGGGGGAGGGGGAAGGACATGAGGTTTAATTAGTGGAGGTGTAATTAATGGACGTGTGCTTGGAGGGCTTTGAATGCCCAAATACAACTGTAACTCCAAGTGTGACAACATAAGAGACACACCTTGGGGACCTCTTGTTGAATTAAAAGGAAAAAAAGATGCAAATAGGCCTGCATTTATTCTTTCTTCTGCTCCTCCCCAAGCTGTTTGGATTGATCTCTGTCACTCGACATGCCAGGTCTGTGTGTGTGATCATGCCAGATCTAACGGGTGTGTGACAGTACCAATCAACACTATCATTGCCTACACCTGCATACAATGCACCAGTATTTACCCCGGCCTCGCTTGTTTTCAAACCTGAGAACACTGAGGCTGTGTCTACACTGGCATGAATTTCCGGAAATGCTTAAAACGGAATACTATTCCATTTTCAGTTTTTCCGGAAAAGGAGCGTCTACATTGGCAGGCTGCTTTTCCGGAAAAGCCCTTTTTCCAGAAAAGCGTCTGTGGCCAATGTAGACGCGCTTTTCCGGAAAAGAGCCCCGATCGCCATTTTTGCGATCGGTGCTTTTGTCCGGAAATGACTACTTGGCTGTCTACACTGGCCCTTTTCCGGAACAGTGTTCCAGAATAAGGACTTATGCCCGAGCGGGAGCAGAATAGTTTTTCTGGAATAGCGGCTGATTTTGTACAGTAGAGCATTGTTGCTTTTCCGGAAATTCAAGGGCCAGTGTAGACAGCTCGCAGCTTATTCCAGAAAAGCGGCTGATTTTCCGAAATAAGTGGCCCAGTGTAGACACAGCCTTAGTGTATTAAAGCCTCAGGGAAATTCCTATCTTGGAAAGGAACTGACGTTCCCTCACCTCAGCGCTGTTTCTTGCTTCGGCAAAACTCCCCATTATGCTCGGGAGTGAGCGGGTTGATTCTCTCTCGATGTCCACAGCCCTTCCAAAATACAATGAGATTTCAACCAAGCACTTCCACTCAACCTACTGCAACTTTATTTCAACCTATGCACCGGCTTGACTTTTAACCTTTGCCATCTTCCTGCCACGAGATAAGCGTGCCTAATGCCGATTACATGAAATTCCAGCCCAAAAGCAGAACCTGAAGGCTATATATAAAACCATCGTCAAAGAGAGCTGCTTACATCATTGCAGTAGAACAAGGCTACTCAACACACGGCCTGTATGTTTGCAGCGTGCAGGTGGGAGCCAAAACAAAAATGTAGTCAGTATAACTCTTCTGCTGATATGCATTTCCATAGTTAAATTCCTGGACTGTCATTGCTCATTAAAAGTACTGTCATATGGGTGGAAATCAGGTAGATGTTCCATTTTATTAAGATCAGCAGAACTGACCGACTTAAATGGGGCCTGCGTGTTGTGTAGTCTTGCCTTAATCTTTGTATGTCTGCCCATCAGTGTGAAAGACGCTATTTGCATATATTTGCATGTATATGCAACCACGCTTAAGTTGCGGCCCTCAGCATGTGCTGTATCATTGTGGACCCTGAGGCTTCCAAAGTTGAGTAGCCCTGCTGTAGAATCTAAAAGGCATCTAAATGAAAATTCCACGAAGATAGAAAATGGAAGGGAGGAAGCAGGTGGAGGAGAGACAAGAAGATGATGGAAAAGGCCTATAACAACATTTTCTGGGCCGGTTCATGTTAGGTAAGTGTTCCCAAGCTTAGATTTTGCAACGTATGTTGTAAATATTAATGGGAATATAAATAACACTTGGAAGAAAAGAGTAAAAAGACTCAAGAAAAAGGGTCAAGAAAGAAAAGAGTAAAAAGACTCAGTTCTAGGCACCACGTTTCAAGAAAGATGTGGAGAAACTGGAGAAGGTCCAGAGAAGAGCAACAAGAATGATTAAAGGTCTAGAGAACATGAGCTATGAGGGAAGAGTGAAAGAATTGGGTTTGTTTAGTTGGGAAAGGAGAAGACTAAGAGGGAACATGATCGCGGTTTTTAGGTATCCAAAGAGGTGTCACAAGGAGGGAGAAAAATTGTTCTCCTTGGCTTCTGAGGCTAGGACAAGAAGCAATGGGCTTAAACTGCAGCCAGGGAGATTTAGGTTGGACATGAGGAAAAACTTCCTGTCAGGATGGTGAAACGCTGGAATAAATTGCCTAGGGAGGTTGTGGAATCTCCATCATTGGAGACATGTATGAGCAGGTTGGACCGACATCTATCAGGGATGGTCTAGATGGCGCTAGGTCCTGCCGTGAGGGCAGGGGACTGGACTTGATGACCTCTCGAGGTCCCTTCCAGTTCTAGTGTTCTAGGATTCTATGATTCTAAGATCCCATACTGCAATTTTCCACAGTGATACAATAATACCACCTGTTCGCAGGTGACATGGGGGGAGGGGGCTGGGTGGTGAGATACTGGGAGGAATTCTGAAGTTCTTACTCAGCAAAACTCCCCATTAAACCAGATGCCTGGATTGCAACTCAGGGAGAAACACAAGGTTTAGTCCAAAGGGTTGGCAGAAAGAAGGCCCTAGAGTCTCGCCGTGAGAGCAGGATGGCAAAACTGGGTTCCAGCCTTTCACATTCATTGTATGACTTTGGGCAACTCATGTAACTTCTCTGTTCCTCAGTTTCCCCATTTTTATAGTAAGAGTAATGATGCTTGCCTATCTTAGTATCACTCTGGGAGATCTTTAGGCGAAAATTACCATATACATTCAAATAGTTAGCAATTATTATCATTGAGAAATAAAACGTTTCACTAAAAGTGAGCCACCCGCACCCCTGAGCTTAAACCTCTGTTCAACCACATTCATTTTTCCATTTAATTTTAAAAAGCGATCTCTTATTGACACGTACATACATTCCTTGAGGGATGGACACACAATATTTTGGTTGGAGGTGCTTCTCTTCCAGTCATAAAAACAACTATTGAGTGACTTTAGCAGTATGTGTTGTTAATTTATTCTAATTCACCAGAAACAAGCTGGAAAGCTATTTTTAAATAAACCAGGGTTTCAAATATTTGTTTTCCCATGTGAGTATGCAATAAATCCACAGTAGTTACTGTATATTCTTTGTAATCCCTGGACTGCTCACTTAGTCAGGCCATTAAAAACCTTATCATGTTGTCCTAAGAGCAGAGCTTACTTATCCTGATAAAACTCCAAAACTGGACAGTCACATTTTACCAAACTACATTCCCCCTGCAGTTCATCCTTCTTTACTGCCCTAAAGTGCTATGACGCGTTCCTGTGAGCTGTAGTGTTCCACTGCAGAGGTGGGTGCATTTCAGTGATGGGAGAAATGTTCTCTGCAAGGATACTATCTGCAAATTATATGAGGGCTCTTTGGAATGAAAAGGCAAAATATGATGCAATGTTAGCAATCAGAAATAACAAAAATGGAGAATGTTTTCAAAATGAAACGTAATGGAAACAAAGAATAGTTTACTCAGGAAACATTGGCCTCTTTGTGCTTCCTCGGAACAGTTTACAAGTGTGGACAGGTATGATTATCACCACTGTATGAATGGGGAAAATGGGGTGCACAGAGGTTAAATGACTTGCCCAAGTCCACTCTATAAGTCAGTAGCAGAGATGTTAGACCCTAATATCCCTGACTCCAAGCCCACTCTGCTACTGCACTGGCCCATGTTACCTCTATTGGTCAACAAATTATTAATCCAAAGTGGACATTCTCCCCCTGTTTGCGAGCCATTAGAAAATACCAACAGGTACCTGTTTGTCTTGCTATGTAAATGTGGTCTGTGGATTAGCACAGTGGACAGGGAGATAGAAGAGCTGGGTCCCGTCCTTGGCTCCACCACTAACTCCCTCTGTGAGTTTGGCAGAGTCACTCAACTACTGTGCCTCAGTTTCCCCATCTAAAAAATTGGAGATAGCTCTCTACACAGGACTATTGCTACTTTTGAGATCCGTAGCTTAAAGCCCCTCTATCTAAGAGCAAGGTGTTACCCTATTTCTGTAATGTAACCACCACCAACTACAACACCAGATGAAACAAGCGGGGGGTGGGGGAGAGGGAGAATGTCTATTCCAGGGGGCAGAGCAGTTTCCAATGGTTTGTTCCCTGGCTTTCCGTTGTTCATTCTAGGCCACAGAACTTACAAACCTCAGTTCATTGAAGGTACGCACCTGGAACGCAGCAAACCACATGAGCCAGTCCAGACGGTAGTGGTACGGTGTGATAAGGCACGGCCTTCTCTTCAACCCCCCAGGCTTACATTTAAATTCATACTCCTCCCAAACCGAAGTGGGATCATTGGGGTCCAGGCTAGACGTGCCTTGGAAGATGACCTCGGTTCTCTCCTTCGTGATGCTGTGAGAAATAATCATTGCATTGTTATTTCCTCAGGCTGTGCCAAATCTTAGCTACTGGCAAGTATAGTACGTACTCCATTAGCCTCATGTTTCTTTTAACCTGCCTTTGGCCTTTTTGGCTACAGGGAAATGCGGCAGCAGCTTAACAGTCTATGTGAGTTACTTCTAAGGCCCCCGCCCGTACCATCGTATTGGAGCATTTCACCATCTTCAGCGTGTTTACCCTCCCCAGGCCCTGGTGATGTAGGGCTGTGCTACGACCCCCATTGTACGGGTGGGGAATTGAGGCACTAGGAGACTAAGACCTGCCCGAAGTCTCACAAGGCCGGGCCATCAAGCGCCAGCAATGCCCCTCTGCCAAAGATACTGGCCAAACCAGACAGCAGAGGCGTAGCAACGGTGTTATGTGCCCGGGGGCAAAGGCAAAATTTGCTTCCCCTCCGGCCGGGGCCCCGAACCTGGCACAGGTCTGAGCCCAACCCTGGGGGAAGAAGGGGAGCTTGTACTGCATTTTCCCCCTCCCCCTCCAGTTTGGAGCTGGGTCCCCACAAGCACTCACCTGCCGGCGGAGACGGAGGAGGGTTGGGCTGGGGGCAGAGAGGCAGGGAGGAAGCTCCAGGCACTGGCTGGGGGGGGAGGGGGGGCCGGCGGGAGGCGGGGGGGCCGG